CCCCGATATTTTTCACGGGGTTTCAGATTTTTGTGCACACCTGGGGACTGGCCAACGTGTGCCAAAAATCTCTCTCCCCCCCAGGTGCCCCCGATGTGCGGATTTAAGTATCCGCACACCAGGGGGCGACTTGAGAATTAGATATATAGTTGCAACCACTGTCTTTACACAACCTCTCAGGAGAAAGAAAAGATCAGATTGACAGAGTTCCCCCCTCTTGCTTTCTTCCCCAGACAAACGAAGAGTATAACCAGAGGACAAACTGCCTCAGTCCAGGCCCCGCTGAACCACTTGGTGGGAATGTGACCTTGTTTCGAACATCAGCCGCTCTGGTAACTCCCAAGGAAGTGGACTGGCGGAAAAAGGGTTATGTAACCCAAGTCAAAGACCAGGTGAGAAGGATGAGCGGCAGAGAAGCACTAATGGCCTCATCAGGGACCAATACAATGTCAAGAGAGTCTTTGGAATGAAGCAGGGCAAATATTGGGGTGGCCAATGCGAGATTACGGCTTTCAGCAATGCCTAGGGGGATTCATTTCTCATAATTTGAAGCCTCCTTTCTGTGGACTTGGATTGAACACTTCGCACAGAGCTTGTCCCTGGAGCAGGGCATAGCAGTGTGAGGCACCACAGTGCTGTGGAGAAGGGGGGGGGGGACACACACTTCCCAACAGTGTTGAACCCAGGCCAAATAACTTGTGTAAGTTGAGGCAGAATGGAACAAAAATTCAGTGGTAGGCACTGCACCTCTAAAAATATTGAAATTTCCGAAGCAAGTTTGGTGTAGTGGTTAAGTGCGCAGACTCTAATCTGGGAGAACCGGGTTTGATTCCCCGCTCCTCCACTTGCAGCTGCTGGATGACCTTGGGCAAGCCACAGTTCTGTCAGAGCTGTTCTTGAAAAAGAGCAGTTTCTGTCAGAGCTGTCTCAGCCCCACCTACCTCACAGGGTGTCTGTTGTGGGGAGGGAAAGGAGGTTGTAAGCTGTTCTGAGACTCCTTTGGGTAGTGAAGGGCGGGGTATAAATCTAATCTCTTCTTCTTCTATTACCTCACAGGGTGTCTGTTGTGGGGAGGGAAAGGAGGTTGTAAGCTGTTCTGAGACTCCTTTGGGTAGTGAAGGGCGGGGTATAAATCTAATCTCTTCTTCTTCTATTACCTCACAGGGTGTCTGGTGTGGGGAGGGGAAGGGAAAGGAGTTTGTAAGCTGCTCTGAGACTCCTTTGGGTAGGGAAGGGCGGGGGATAAATCCAATCTCTTCTCTTATTATTCCACTTTGGACACTGGGAACTCCAACGTCTTAAGATGAAGCTGGGTTAGAAGAATTTCGGAAGCATTGCAGGTTGGACATAATAGACTACCGATGGGTGGAGCATGAGAGACTTGAAGCAGGGGTACCCAATTTTTTTGAGCCTATGGGCATCTTTGGAATTCTGACAGAGTGGAGGGCTCAGCCTCACAATGGGTGCCACAAAATGGCTGCCACAGGAGGCAAAGCCAGTCACAAAATGGCTGCTGCACCTCATTTCAGTCAGACAGTGAAGATCCTTGTGCTGTGGTGGCAACTGCTGCCCAAGCAGTATTTTTTAAACTCTTCACAGGCATCCAAAGTTTGGCTGGGCAAAAGTCCCATCTGGCCCCACCAACTTCCAAAACGCACTTTGTGGTCACCAGGAAAGATGTCGGAAGGCACCACATTGGAGACCCCTGATCTAGGCTAAGGCATGCTCTGCACCTAAAGAGGAATGGTGTGGTAGAGACATAGGGTGTGATCACACAAGCAGTTTGGCCTGACATAGCCACCCCTCCCCTCTGGATCAAATTGGCACTGTCACACAGCCACATCTGTCAGGCATTCTCCAGGCATACTCACCCCATCATAGGACGGAGCCGGGTTAACAAGGCACCACATCACAAGTGGTGTTTTCGGTTCCTTGTGCATTCACTGCCCATAGCCATATGTCTGAACGTGAGGGAGCATGCACAGAATGGATTGGCAATCTGAACCCGGTGAGGCTTTTTCGAATTTTCTCCTATGTGCACATGTGCACGTGCTCATGAGCGCATGCACGCGCATGAGCGCATATGCGCCCACCTGCATTTAAAAAACAACAACCGGGGCAGCATGTTCCGTGGCTGGGATGCTGCAGTAATGTGGATGCTTGCCCACAGGATGCCCGCATGGGTAACCTGCTGCAGGGTGTGAAGTCTGGATGGTACGCCGCACGACACTTTAAACCAGTACAATTAGAGGCGGTGCCATATTGTGCCAAGCTGCCAGTGTGACCACACCCATAGAATGGACCCTTTAGATTGCAGACAGGACCACCACCACTCCCTGTGGAAAAAGTCCTGGCATATAGAGATAGGGTTTCCAGGTCCCCCCTGGCCACCAGCAGGGGATGGGGAGGTGTGGTTGCCAGATCCAAGGTGGGAAACTCCTGGAGATTTGGGGATGGAGTCTGGGGAGGACAGGGGACCTCACTGGGGTGCAATGCCAAAGAGTCCACCCTCCAAAGCAGCCAATTTCTCCAGGGGAACAGAACTCTGTAGTCTGGACAAGAGATGTAATTCCAGGGGATCCCCAGGTCCCACCTGGAGACTGGCATCCCTAATAGATAATCAGCAGAACATGCCGGAAGAGGACGGAAGAAACTTTCTCCCAGCTGCACCACTTTCTCAATTTACAGGGTGGGGTTTAAAAAAAATATGAAGGAACGATCAATTTTGAAACCAGGATCTCTTTCAATTTGAACAGATGCAGTCCATGGACTGAGCTCCCAACCGTCTCCTCCTTGATTTTGCTTTTCTGTAGGGCAACTGTGGCTCCTGTTGGGCGTTCAGTGCCACCGGAGCCCTGGAAGGCTTACATTTCAAGGTGACCAAACATCTGGTCTCACTAAGTGAACAAAACCTCATTGACTGCTCTGGAAAGTTCCGCAACCGCGGATGTGGTGGTGGAAACGCCTCGTGGGCCTTCTTGTATGTCCAGCATAACAAGGGCATCAATTCCGAGAAAACGTACCCGTATTTGTCAAAGGTAACATGTAGAGGCCCAGGTGTGACCTGTTAAGTGTGGTGACACCATGCAAGTCCCTGCTTCTGTATTCTGTCTGAATCTGTCCATCCATCTGCATTCTCAGTTTACCTTTCTACCTATCTGCTTATCTACCTGTACATTTTTAACCTTCCCTTCTCCAAAGGATCTCAGAAGAGCATACATGATTCTCCCTTCCACCACTCTATCCTCACAACCACCCTGTAAAGTAGGCTAGTCCAAAAGAGTGTGACTAACCCAGAGTTATCCAATGAACTTCGTGGCTATCTATCTATCTATCTATCTATCTATCTATCTATCTATCATCTGTCACTGCTAATACAGCTATAGCCTTGAGCAGAAAATAAAATAATATAATAATGCCTTACTTGATATTCTTCTGCTGTTTAATTACTGCCCCTAACAGTTTTGCCACAGACCGAGTAACCGAATCATTTGTACCTGATAATAGACACGTCACCTGCGCCCATGTACTATCCGGTGCCTCCTTATACCTTTCCATCATTTGGAGGAAAGGAGTAATTAAACTGGCCCTCAACTCATTCAATATAGGACAGTCCATAATCACATGCTCAATAGTTTCAACTTTATCAGATGAGCATCTACATGTTCTATTTGTATATGGCACTTTTTAATATCTGCCCTCCAAGGGCGCCTACAGAAGAGAATTTGTTCTGGCCAAAGTAAAAGCTCTCCTGAGCTTTGGTATTGTCAACCGATAAAAGTACTTCGGGGGTCGCAGCGGGAGGGCAATACCTAAATAAGACAGCGAGCATACCCTGCGGGCCCTGACAGATGTGCTGTTAATATCCAGTTTCTTAACACGCAATCTAATTCACCTAATTATTCCTTTGGTCTCCATGATCTTCACCATATCATTTGTTATACCTAGAGATTTCATTCTCTTTTCCAGTAGTTGATTCCATTGGCTGTTATATGCATCTGCTCGTTAAGAGTCCAAGGAGGGTAGACCCCCCCCCCATAGATTTTAAGGTCTTAACTTTCAAAAGAAATGCTTTAATCCATGCCTTAGCCTCCATCGATGATTTGCCCAATTCAGCTCTCAGTGCTATACCCGAAACACATCTGGGGGTAGCCAATATGTGCCGGGGGGAAATTCATATTGAATAGAATCCATTCTCTCAGAGACAGCGTCTATCCAAACTTCCGTACCATATAAGTTCTGATTTGTTACTATAGGAGAGTGGCAACTTGAACTCAAGCGTCTAAGATCCCTGCCGAACATCCTGACCACTGTACCACACTGTTACCTGCTTCCTGAGAATCATCACGGTTGCTTTTTTTTTGTGCATGTAGAGGACAGGCCTCAGGATCTCCTTAGCTTTCATTCTTTTTTTTTTAAAAAAAGGAAGGCCAATTTCCAGTGTGTACGACAGTGCAGGAGTGAACTATTGTCGAACCTGATCCACATCCCAAATAACCTGAGGATAAGCCCTCCACCGAGAGTCCAGTAGTTAGACATTCCACCCTCTCACACAAAGCCCAGACTGATGCCCTTGTTGACATTTCTCTGCAGAACAGCGCCCCCTGTCGTTACGACCCCCAGAAACCAGTGGCCAAGTGTACTTCTGTTGTAGAGATCCCGAAGGGAGATGAGAGAGCCCTGGAGCAAGCTGTGTACGGAGCTGGCCCGGTTTCCATTGCCTTGGATTCCAGGAGCAAAGAGTTCCAGTTCTACAAGTCAGGTAAGGAGCCCTTTGAGGTGGGAGGCAGATTCTGACCATTTAAGCACATCTGTGTTTTATTGCAAAAATATGAGGGGACCAGTGTTCCCTCTAAGCTGTTAGTGCAAGCTAGCTCACAGTTTTCTATCCTCCGGCTCACACATTTTTGTCTTAGCTCAGAAAGGATGGCTCCAGAGCAAACTAATTGATGCAGTAGCCAAATTGCTCACTCACAACTTTAATGCCCGTAGCTCACAAAGTAGAACTTTTACTCACAAGACTCCACGGCTTAGAGGGAGCATTGGAGGGGTCCCCTCCAAAAAAAAAACACACACACACAGAAGGAAACCACCAATGTAGGAAGCTTCGCTGTGCAACTTCTGTGCCAAATATAACTGAGCCAAGTGAACACACTAAAGGCAAAAATGAACAGATCACCATATACAAGTGCAGCTTACAGTCTTGAACAATCTCAGTTTGCCTTGGAGCTGTGTAGGAAAGGGAGGTTTCAGCCTCCACTTGGTTTTGCTGGTGTTTTTAAAAGGATAAGGTAAAGGTAAAGGTTTCCCTTGCTTGAAAGCCAGTCGAATCCGACTCTAGGGACGCGGTGCTCATCTCTGTTTCCAAGCCGAAGACGTTTCCGTGGTCATGTGGCCGGCATGACTAGATGCCGAGGCGCACGGAACGCTGTTACCTTCCCACCGAAATGGTACCTATTTATCTACTTGCAGTTTCTTGCTGTTGAACTGCTAGGTTTGGCAGGAGCTGGGACCAGAGACGGGAGCTCACTCCGTCATGCGCCACTTGGGTCTCGAACTGCTGAACTACCAACCTTCAGGTCCGCAGTTCAGCATCTTAACCACTTGAGTACCGCAGCCCCTTTTAAACGGATACTTCCCCTCATTTAAAATGCTAATAGAAGAGCAGAGAAGCCCCTTTTGATTATCATAGCTGAGTGGAGGTTGAAAGGTTAAACCTCCTCTTCCAGTCCTGAGGCAAATAGAGGCTGCACTTGACAGACTGATAGAAATGGGTGGTCTCTGCCATGTCTGTTTGAGCCCTAGCTGTCCAGTTCAAGTGGACTCATTTTAATTGGTCAAAAATAAAAAATCCCAACGACATCTTGGAGCACAGAAGTGAATCAAGCACTGCATATAACAGCCAGCTGTATTTCCATTTATTATGACAATTTATTGTCTATACCAGCGGCAGCCTGTTTAGGGACAGTTTGACCTTTGTTGGTCACAGGATGTTCTAACTTTATTTTAAGCTGATCAAAAGCAAATTCTAATTCAGAGCGTAGATGACATCTTCTTCAGGTAGGGGAGGATTTTCAAATAGGTAAAAGTTCCAAAGGAATGGATTTAACCCCTACTTTTGAGGGTTGCCAACGGCCAGGTGGTAGAAGGGAAACAAACAACCGTGATCTATTGTGCCAAAAAAAGAGTCTTCACAGACTTGACATTTCTTTTTCCTATATTCAGTTTACTGGAAGCAATTCAAACGCCATCAGCACAACGAACCATGCCTATTATATCTCATTTCATGTATACCTTTATCAAAGTGGACAGTGTTGGATTAATATTGTATTTCAACGCTACCCACTTTGATAAAGTTATACACGAAACGAGATATAATATGCATGGTTCGTTGTGCTGATGGCGTTTGAATTGCTTCCAGTAAACTGAATATAGGAAAAAGAAATGTCAAGTCTGTGAAGACTCTTTTTTTGGCACAATAGATCACGGTTGCTTGTTTCCCATCTATTTCCATCCCGTGATCTCTCCCCTTGGTTTGCAAGGGCCAGGTGGTGGCTAGAGATCTCCTGGGACGGCAACTTATCCGATAGGGTTACCTACCAAGTACCTACCGCGAATTGCCGGGGTACACATCGTTCTTGGCGGGAACATTCCCACGGGGAAAACACACACGCTGCACTATACTGTTGCCCAGATGTGACGTAGGCACGTAGCCGGGCGACGCTCTAGCAATGGGGCTGAAAACTCGATGGTACCATCGAGTTTTCAGCCCTATTGCCAGAGCGTCACCCGGCTATGTGGCCAGCGTGCTGACGTCATGTCTGGGCGACAGCATAGTGCAACACGGTTGTGTTACAGGAAGGAATGTTCCGGCGGGAAAGATTGTGTCCCCCGCCGATTCGCGGTAGGTACTTGGTAGCCCTAGACTTATCCCCGGGTGACAGGGAGCAGTTCCTCCAGAGAAAAGGGCTGCTTTGGAAGGCGGGCTGTGACGAACTGCACCTTTTTAAGAGCTCAAAGTATTGTACAGAGTAAAGGTATGTGAAGGGTGACTTCTTCGCAGAGCCAGAGAGCCTTGAGTGACAGGCTGCTGTGAGCAATCTGATCAGACAGCATCAGCTGAGCAGACAGGGGACGATTCTACATCTGGCATCTGCTCCACATTTTCTCAACCGGGAGGGGAAAGTGCAGCTCAAAACCACATTCAGATACCCCGGGGCGATGCCATACTGACTGCAAGGTCCCCCCTGAACAGCCATAAATCTATGCAGAAGGTACCATAGAACCTGACGATCAAAGAAAGTGAAAGCGGCGCGGAGTGTGGAGGCTACAGTGCCATCCGATAATCAAACTCCTTCGGGTAGTGAAGGGTGGGTTCTAAATCCAACCTCCTCCTCCTCCTTCCTCAGTAGGGTTGCCAAGTCTGGGTTGGAAAATACCTGGAGACTTTGGGGGTGGAGCCAGGAGAGGGCGTGGTTTGGGGAGGAGAGGGGCCTCAACATAATACAATGCCATAGAGTCCACCCTTCAGAGCATCCATTTTCTCCAGGGGAGCTAATCTCTGTCGGCTGGGGATCAGTTTTAAAAGCGGGAGATCCCCAGGCCCCACCTGGAGGCTGGCAACCCTATTCCTCAGAAATTTCAATCCCTGAATTCACCTGATCTTTCCCCTCTATGTCAAATAAAATGTTTTGCTCTTTCTGAATTTAAGACATCTAAAGTGCCATTATCAGTGGTTTAAGAGAAAGAGGGCTCCTGATCCTTCCCTCAAGTTCCTGGGCTGGGCCAAAATATCGAACTGCCAAAGGGTGGGACAGCGAAACTTCTGAACTAAAGAAGAAGATGCATTATGTGGGTGGTTCAGTCACAGAGGGGAACAGAAAATCGGAGGGAAAATTTTGCCTCTGAGGGAGGGAAGAAGCAGGGGTCTGGCATATGGGCCCTGTGGCCTTGTACCCCGTTGAGGTCCCTCCCCTCCCCAAACCCCGTGCCCCTCAGGCGCCACTCCTAAAATCTCCAGGTATTTCCCAACCCAGGGCCGGCAACTCGACTATTTTCCCAGTTCTGCTCCTCCACTGGTGCCTTCATGCCCCCCACCCAGAGGACAGGAGTGTGAGGGAAGGCAGGGGTGGACTGGCCACTATCAGCCCCGGAGAAAGCCCTGATGGGCCAATGGCCTGTGGGCTGCCCTGAGCGAGGCGAGTCTTGCCGTGTTCACAGTGGCGCCGGATGAGGTGAGTTCCCTGCAGCCACAAGAGAACAAATCAGTCTTCAACTGGTATCCTTCCGGTCTCAATGTAAACTTCTCCTTTGCCCAGGGATCTTCTTCAGCCCTTGGAGTGACAAAGTGTTGACCCACGCTATGCTGGCAGTGGGCTATGTTAATTCCCAGGAAAGCGGGAAAGGGAGAGGCTACTGGATCCTGAAGAACAGGTGAGTGGAAGAGACAGCTGTCCGAGAAAGGCGCCAGACATACTGAGCTCTTGTGGCCTTTGATTATAAGTCAGACAAGTCAACAGTCAAGAATTCTGACGAGAGGGCCCTTCCGTCTGTCTGAGGGCGTGAGAATGACTATACCCCAAGTTCCTCCCCAACTCCGGCTGGTTCTGGGTCATTACCCCATAAAGCCCAACACAAGCCATGATAGACGGGAGGAGTTCCTGTGTGAATAGCTCCACGCCTTCATCTGTGTAGCGCCACCTTTGGCTCACATTAGGAGCTCACCGGTCCTCCAATCTTCTCTTTGCTGGAGACCCCTCATTTTCCAGGAGAAAGGCCAGGAGGGTAGGACTGACTGTATGCTGGGGAATGTTCACTCTCTATTCGTATTTTTTCTCTCTCAAAGTTGGTCTAAAATGTGGGGCGAAAAAGGTTACATGCGACTGTCAAAAGGAGCCAATCACTGTGGTGTAGCCGACGGAGCAAGCTATCCTGTTCTGAAACCGGCCAAAGAGCAGTGATTCCATCTTCCAGAACTTTCCCTGCATCAGTGCTCCAGTCTGTGGCACCTTGGGCTGCTGCAGTGTCTGGGGTCGTCAGTTGTATCAGAAATTCTGCAGAGATTTACGACGAGTGCTTCAAAATGTGATGAAGGCTCACTAAAACTCAATGACATTTTTGCGTGTTCTGGATAAGTTCTGTGGGAGAAACGGGCATTGGTTGAGGGCACAATAGAATTCCCTGTTTGTTGTGAGTTAACATCAGAAAAGGATTATGCTGGAAATGGTTTTGGGTCCATGGCCTACTTTGACCACCAGACTATGGACCATTTCATATTTCTCATAGCTCTTTCAATCTGAAACACACACCCCTTAAACCTCTCCCTCCTGCATGTCAGACTTCTGATTTTTAAAAATCTTTTCATGCCATTTTCTCTTTCCGTGTGTTTTTCAGTAGTTGTTCAGAAGTGATCACAGAACTTGGTACTTTATAACATAACCCTGTGCATACGACAGTCCCTATCCATTGCAAATAAAAGGACAAAAGCATGCATCTCGTGGGCACTCCATGAAATTGCTGAGCGGTCGGGTTAGAACAGATAAAAGGAAGTACTTCTTCACCCAAAGAGGGATGAACACATGGAATTCACTGCCACAGGAGATGGTGGCGGCTACAAGCATGGACAGCTTCAAGAGGGAACTGGATAAACATATGGAGCCGAGGTCCATCAGTGGCTATTAGCCACAAGGTATAGATAGGAACTCACAGTCTGGGGCAGGTGATGCACTGTATTCTTGGTGCTTGGGGGGGAGGCAACAGTGGGAGGGCTTCTAGTGTCCTGGCCCCACTGGTGGACCTCCTGATGGCACCTGGTATTTTTGGCCACTGTGTGACAGAGTGTTGGAGTAGATGGGCCATTGGCCTGATCCAACCTTGGCTTCTCTTATGTTCTTATGTTATGTCCTTATCCACTAAACAAGCGAGTCTGCAAAACTGAAAGCCGATAAGGGGAACAAGATCGTTGTGAAAAATATGAATGAATAAGTGGGGCCCTGTGAGACTCATACCCACGGGGAATCTCTCTCCTTGACTTGCTTGGCTGTCTTCTCCCTCTATGACAGGGGTGTCAAACATGCGGCCCGGGGGCCGGATCAGGCCCCCAGAGGGCTTCCATCAGGCCCGCAGTGGAACTGGCCATCTCCTGTTTCCAGTTCTGCTGCTGCTGCTGCATCATAGTTTGCTTCGCCAGACTCTCTTAATCACCCAGCCATTTCATGTTTTAACCTGGGTCCGAGACTCAGAACTCTGAGCATGAGATTTCTGTGGTGAATGTCAATCAATCGAAAGTAGGTTTGCAGCTTACAGAGATAATGTCTTAAGCACGTTTTTTATTTTAAGTTAATAAAAAACCCCTTTTGTGTTTGTGTCCTTTATAAAATTTATATCTCCGCTACCTGGTGTTACATTTTATGACACGCAGGGCCCGGCCCAACAAGGTCTCATTTATGTCAGATCCGGCCCTCATAACAGATGAGTTCGGCACCCCTGCTCTATGATTTCTTTTCCCTCTGTGGGAATCACTTTGCGGCTGATGGTTGCTGCTGTATATGCCCTCTTCAAGCCAGTGTATTGTTCCTTCACAGCCACAGAATGCAGCAGCAGCTTAGAAGCCGGAAGGAACTGAGAAAGATGAGGTGGAAGCCCTGGGTCTTTCTTTTCACAAGACTACCGGTTAGGGCAGTTTGAGCTTTTACCCCCTGAGTGTTTGCAGAATGTGAACTCAGCATTTCTAAAGCAAAATAGAGTGGTCTCTCATGATCCTTGGGCAAAGTGCAATTTCATCACCTGTGTGTCCTGACAATACTCAGAATGCCAAAGCAAGGAGTTAATTTCAAAGGAGCTACAGTATTCTTGTGTTCTGGGGTGTGCGTCTGTCTTTCTCTTTCATGTCATCTTTTTGCAGTTGTGTCTAACAGACTGCGAGCTACTTTGTTTAAAAAAAATAAACCCACATGCTCCCTTGTGAGCAAAAATTCTACTTTGTGAGCTACTGGCATTAAAGTTGTGAGCGAGCGAGCGATTTGGCTGCTGCATCAGTCAGTTTGCTCTGGAGCCATCCTTCCTGAGCGAAGACAAAAATGTGTGAGCCAGAGGCTAAAAACTGTGAGCTAGCTCACACTAATTCAGCTTAGAGGGATTCCTGCACACGCCTGAAATTCAGTAGCCAACCTAAAATATCATCATGGGTAGATAAAAGAACATGCTTGGGTAAACATGTGTATGTGAAAGCCACCAGATGAGACTGCAGACAGGTCGAGTTTGGCACTGGGAGGGAGGGCAGCAAATGTGTTAGGAGTACTGAATATGGTGGCGCTGTTTGAGGCAGAAGTCTGGGGGTCGATCCCCAGGATCTCCAGTAGGTAGTAGGTGATGTGAAAGAGCTCTGCCAGAGACCCTGGAGAGCCCCCGCTACAGTCGGAGTAGACAAGACTGAACTTGATGGACTGGTAATCTGACTCACTAGAAGTTTACCTCGACTCCCAGAAAGCTTTTGATAAAGGTCCTCATCAAAGGCTCCTAAGTAAGCTCAATAGTCACGGGATAAAAAGACAAGTTGTCTTGTGGACCAAAAACTGGCTAATTAATAGGAAACAGAGAGTGAGTATGAATGGGAAATTTTCTCAGTGGAGGGTGGTAAGCAGTGGGGTACCACAGGGATCAGTACTCCGTCCGATGCTTTTTAACTAGTTTATTAATGATTTGGAGTTGGGAGTAAGCAGTGAAGTGACTAAATTTGCAGATGACATGAAGTTGTTCAGGGTGGTGAAAACCAGGGAGGATTGTGAGGCACTCCAAAGGGATCTGTCGAGGATGGGCAGGTGGGCATCAACGTGGCAAATGGGGTTCAGTGTGGCCAAGTGCAAAGTGATGCACACTGGAGCCAAAAATCCTAAATATAAATACACATTGATGGGGTCCGAACTGGCAGAGACTGACCAAGAGAGAGATCTTGGAGTCATAGTAGATAACTCAATGAAAATGTCGAGACAGTGTGCGACTGCAATTAAAAAGGCCAACACTATGCTGAGGATTATTAGGAAGGCAATTGAAAACAAATTAGCCAGTATCATCATGCCCCTGTATAAATCAATGGGAAAGGTTAAAGCGCTTGGAGCTCTTTAAGCTTGGAGAAATGACAGCTGGGATAGAGCAGGTCGAGAAAGAAGTCTTTTTCTCCCTTTCTCACAGTACAAGGACTCGTGGACACTCAATGAAATTGCCGAGCAGTCATGTTAGAACGGATAAAAGGAAGTCCTTCTTCACCCAAAGAGTGATTAACACAAGGAATTCACTGCCACAGGAGGTGGTGGCAGCTACAAGCATGGACAGCTTTAAGAGGGAATTAGATAAGCTATAGGGAGCAGAAATCCATCAGTGGCTATTAGCCACAAGGTATAGACAGGAACTCACAGGTTGGGGCGAGTGATGCACTGTATTCTTGGTGCTTGGGGGGGGGGCAACAGTAGGAGGGCTTCTAGTGTTCTGACCCCACTGGTGGACCTCCTGATGGCACCTGGTAATTTTGGCTACTGTGTGACAGAGTGTTGGACTGGATGGGCTACTGGCCTGAGCCAACATTGGCTTCTTTTATGTTCTTAAGTCAGCATCAAGCAGGGGGTTGGGCTAGATGGCCTGTACGGCTCCTTCTGTGATTTGAGCTGCTCTGAGCTGCTAGATTTCCCCTGGCTCCACTGGAGGTTTCCCCAAAGCTGTTTTGGCATGACCTTTTTGGAAAGGTCATATGCCCAAATCTGTTCATCATCATGAGATCTATCATCTTGCTTCCTTGGGCAACCTGGGTCACCTTCTCCAGAGCACACCTCAGCCCTTGCGGTCAAAACTGTGCAAATGTTGGTGCGATCCCAAAACACCAATCCCAGCGACATCATCTTCTGTGCTCAGTGAAAAGAAAACGATATTGTCAGAACTGGTGTTGTTCTTGGGGTTGTAGCAGTGTTCACACACTATTTCCATGTGTATCCATTTCAGTGCACAAGGGTGATATCCAGTTTTGTTTGGTGAAGTGATTGAGTGCGCCGACTCTAACCTGGGAGAACCGGGTTTGATTCCGCACTTCTCCACATGCAGCTGCTGGATGACCTTGGGCAAGCCGTAGTTCTGGCAGAGCTGTTATCTCAAGGAGAGTTCTTGAGAGAGCTCTCTCAGCCCCACCTCCCTCACAGGGTGTCTGTTGTGGGGAGGGGAAGGGAAAGGAGTTTGTAAGCTGCTCTGAGACTCCGAGTGAAGGGCGGTATATAAATCCAATCTTCTCCTCCTCCTCCTCCTCTTCTTCTGCATACAGGCTTGTTCAGAATGCATTATAGTTAATGAGACAGCAGCATTGTGCATTGAAATACATGCATGTTTTCCACAGAGGGGCAAGCCTGTTTTAATTTCCCTGTTCCTGCTGCAATTGCTCATACAGCACAGGAGCGATAGGGCTGCCATTTTTTAATGGTGATTGAATAGCCTTCTATCAATATATTGCTCTACTAAAATATGCATCCGGTTCTCTGAGTTCCTAGCTTTCATTTCAAAATGAGTAAATCTCTATCCCATTTCATTGCCAAAATATATATTTCATATATCTCTGCAAGGAATGGGGCTAGAGACTCATTTTATAAACAAAATTAGAGCTGGGAATTCAGGGAAGCCAATGAGCATTTTGGTATAATGGTACATTGCTATAACGCTATTGTTCTATCGACCAATTAAAACAAAACCTTCTGCATTAGGCTGAGGAAAAACCTACCATGGGGGAAATGGCTAGTTTGTGGGCAAAAAAAATCCAAACTTTCCCACCCACACCGGTTCTCGGGGTTCCCAGCTTTCATTAGGGTTGCCAGGTCTGGGTTGCCACCCCTGCTTAGCTTCTGAGATCGGATGAGATTGGGCTAGCCTCCAGGTCAAGGCGAGAGGTGACCAGAGTACTGGGTTACTGGGTTATCTGAGTATCTTTGTAGAGCTTGAGCTTCGGTCACAAGCTCCATAGACTGCAAGCATCCTAAACTAAACAACCGGATTGGTCGCTGTTGTGAACAGGCCAATCCGGAAAGATACTGACTTTTGGCGGGAACCAGGGCTATTTCTGGGCAGGAACGCACAGGAACAGAGTTCCGGCTGGCTTCAGAGTTGGCCACGCCCACTACAGCCAAAACCTCTGCGTGCCTGGCTACAGAGGGAAGGCCTGGAGAGCGACCCACCCTGGCCTCCCCGTGTCTTCCCCAGCCTGTCCAAGGGACAGCTTGCCCAGGCTCCCCACAGCCCTTCCCTTTAATGGGGGCGCTTGCCTGGGCTCCCCGCAGCCGCGGGGCACCCGGGCAAACCAAGGGAAGGCATGGGATGTGGCCTAATATGCTAATGAGCTTCTGCTGTTGGGTGTGGTCTATTATGCTAATGAGTTCCTGCTGGGCTTTTTCTACCAAAAAAAAGCCCTGGCGGGAACAATTCCCATTGGGCCCAAGCGCTCATCTTTGATTGGACGTTATTGTTCCAGGAGGTGTGGTTTCCCTGGTTCAAACTGTATATAGTTGGGTCATTCTGTTGTTGTGTTGTGTCGTGTTCTGAGTTAATAAAGAAGTGGCTCGTTCAATATGCTGCCTTGATGCCAGTACATAATAGCTTGCCATTGCCTGCCTCTGCATAGCAACCATGGACTTCCCTGCTGGTCTCCCATCCAGCTATCCACCAGAGCTGACCCTGCTTAGCTTCTGAGCTCTGACAAGACTGGGACAGCCTAGGCCACCTAGGTCAGGGTAGTTCAGTTCCAAGCATGGAAGGAAAAGTTCATCTTCCCTCTCTCACTAATACCCCCCCCCCATTGCGCACACACCCATTTAAGCAGTGATGGTAGTGGAACCTCTCGGGAGAAAAGAGAATGGAATCAGGGTTGGGTGTGGGCATGTTAGGGCTGCCAAGTCCCCCCAGGGGGCGGATTTCCCCCCGCTTTGGAGGCCCGATTTCCGCCACCACGGAATCGGGCCCCGGGGGAAACCCCACCCCGGCGTGCACATCAGCTGGAGGTGACATGCATGCGGTGTGCGCACACTTCGCGCGTGCACTTGGGACGCTGTCCGGGAGCCCCCTGCCGCAACAAAAAACGGACTTGGCAACCCTAGGGCATGTGCTCAACCTCTTCTCCCCTTTGCAGCACGAATAACCATGCCCTCCTACCCACACTAGTCTACACAGCTGAGTTTTGGAGCAAAATGAGCAATTTCCTGTAACGTTTCTATTCCATGGCGCTTTCAGATTGCCACTGCTCGACTGGTAAACTTCAGGATTTACCAAAGCAAAAAGTTACTTGCCAACTTGCTCCACAGCTGATTTCAGTTCCTTCCCAGTTTCTTTGCTTCCCCTTCCCCTTCTGCCTTTGACTTTCTTTTGCAAAATGCCTAAATGCATGCAAAAACTCAGAAAGCATTCAGATGATGGAATTACCCCTTGGGCACTATCCTGATACCAACCCAGCCACCCTGAGCAATAAGTGCATTAAAAAGATCAGGACAGAAACATGACTATAGAAAATAAGCTTTTTTCCCCAAAAAACAATAACAGAATATATAGAGAAAAGCATAAATTTCAGGAAAAAAAACATGTTGTTAGAAAAAGACCCCTCACAATGCATGGATGAATTTTAAAAGTCCTCTGTGTGTGTGTGTTGGCTAAAAATTGTGTACTGCCTGTGATAATGATGATATATCTGTCTCTCCCTTTGGCTCACTGGATCTCTCTGAGGCCTGGGAATCTTTGTGCACCGTGCCTGGATCTTTCAGAGGCTGGGAATCTTCCACCCACTGTGTCTGGATTTGTTGGCAGCAGAATGTGAATCCTTTTGTCCACGTTCTGCGAGGGAAGTGAATCTCAGGTGTAAGTTGGGGCTTTTCCACATTCACATTTCCCTCAATTGTGT